TTGGTTGGAGTTTCATCTTAAGATTCATAGTCGAACATTCTTTTTCTTCGTCGGGTTCGAGTTTGTTGAAACACTGGGGAAATGTCTGCTTTTTCGGCGATCTTCTTTGCTACAATCACAGCTAATGCATAACCATTATTTCTGTAGTCTTTGACAAATTTACAACATTTTTGTAATAAACTTGTTGCTAATAACAAGTCGGCCGATTCTGATTGCAAGGATTTACTAACAATATTTATTTGATAGAGTAAATCGTACCAAATCACAAGAACGAGCAAAAATTCGTATTGATTCATATGTTCGGCGAGAGACCTGGCTTCTGAAGCTGCAACTGGATCAGTAATTTCCTCGTGTTGTTCTAGTAGTGCATCTTTGATTTCAATATATTGATACTTGACAGCTTTAAGACTTGAAACTCTACTTTCCCAACGTGTCTCACATACTTCTTTTAATGTCAGTGTTTCTGTATATTTTGAAATTGTTTCCCACCTTTTTGTAAAAGATGAGAAAAAGATAAATAGACGTTGGATAACTCCGAACAATGAGACTGATTTAACTGAAGTTTTAGCAGCGTCAGAAGCAACTAAATTATGACAGTGACAACCGCAAACGTTAAAAAATGACCTGGAATATTCTTTGATTTAGATTTTTTTAATTTCTTGATAATAGTAGCCATTACTTCGTTTTCGAGCAAATCAATGAGTTCGTTTTGAATGTTGTTGCTAAAATAATAGTTTTTTGTCTCATTATTGGCGACGCTGCGCAAATGTTCTATCATGACGGGGTCGAATTTACCTAACAATTGAATTAAACCCAAAAAATTTCCATTGTGTGGAGTGTTTATAATGTCGGAACTTCCTCTAAAAGCCAAATTGTTTTGAGCCAAGAACAATGTAATTGCCAACATTCTTTCAAGTATTGCCTTCCACTTTTGTTTTTCGTTATCTATTTGTTTCATTAAATGTTGATCCATTGCAGTTTGTCTTCCTAATGCTTTTGTGGCTTGCAACCAGTTATATGTTGCTGACTGGTGATCCTTCGAAATTTCATGTTTTTGTAATGCCAACGAAATATGAGCATCATTGTCAAGTTTACAATTATTAGGTCCTCGCAACACTATCTCATCAATTTCCCTTTTTGTCAAAGAATTTAGCCAGTTAGATATGTCTTCTGAAACGCACAACGGTAAAGTTGACAAAGGAGTCTTCAACATTTGACAATTAGAAGGCCCGGGCACCGATTCATTAAGATTGTCATGGTGTTGTGACAATGAATCCTCGATACAGTTAGAGAGCTTTTCTTTATCTCTTTTAAAAACAACAGTAGCAGCCGAAGTAGGAATTGCAAAATCTGCATTCGAAACATGTTCGCCCACACAGCACATAAAATTTCCTGAATTTGTCCTGAATATTTCATTGAAAGATTCGAAATATTTCAATGAAAGGTCCATGAAATTTTGATGCAACAATAAAATGTCCGCCTATAAGAAATATTGTATTTCCAATTGTACGAAAAATTTCAGCGAAATGTTGAGGAAATGTGAGGATGAAAAATTACTGACATATTATTTTTTAATATTTGCAAAATAAAAAATGAAATATGTTACAAATTTTTAAGTGAAATATTTTGAAAACATTATTCATTAAAATTCTAGAAATATCGAAATGAAATATTTCTAAATTGTTAAAAATACATATTTAGGCAATATCATCCGGATATATTTGTGAAAAATAAAAAAAATGAATTTCAGAAATAAATTGCGGTAGTGATTGTGAAAATATGTGACAAAATTAGTTGACCGATAGTAAACCTTTGTAAAAGAAAAAATTTTTCGATAATAATGCCTTAAATTATAACTTACAAGTGAATCTTAAATTTAACATATCTCAAAATGTCTTAAATCGACGTATGCCGTCTTTACGGCGATCGGTTCATATGTACTTTTTGTCATTTGCAATTTTAGACAAATTAAATTTTAAACATTTGAATACTCTGAAAAATAGAAATGTTATCAAATGACAATTCTGCGAAAAAAATTTTTTGTTCAATTATAATTATGCAGTAAATTAAGAATTCAATTAAAAAGTTACGAATATTGAAAGTCCAGTCAAGTAAAATTTGTAACAAATTGACTTTTATAGTATATCCTTGCGTACCTGAGCGGATCTTATTTATTTTAAGTATTCTATTTTTATACTTACTGTTCATATATAGTAATCATGTTTCGCTTGTTGCATCTTACGTGTAATAATTTCTTTATAATAAATAAATTGTCACTATTTAACTAAATACACAAATTTTGTCACATATTTTCACAATCACTACCGCAATTTATTTCTGTAATTCATTTTTTTTATTTTTCACAAATATATCCGGATGATATTGCCTAAATATGTATTTTTAACAATTTAGAAATATTTCATTTCGATATTTCTAGAATTTTAATGAATAATCTTTTCAAAATATTTCACTTAAAAATTTGTAACATATTTCATTTTTTTATTTTGCAAATATTAAAAAATAATATGTCAGTAATTTTTCATCCTCATATTTCCTCAACATTTCGCTGAAATTTTTCGTACAATTGGAACAATTATAGGAAGTAAACAGAGGTTATTTAGTTTGACAATTTGATTGCTGGCTGTGCATTGCATACATAATTGCATTATGCATCTATCATCATTGAAACTAATTTTACAAACATTATGTTAATTAAAAAAAACTAAAGAAAGAAAAACAATATACAATAAATATACTTGCCTGCTGGCCAGTTATTTACACGACATTACAAAATATTTTACTTCAGTTTCTGGTAAAAATTATTTTGTTTCAAGTGTTTGATTGAACATATGATCGACTAATGATCCTAGAACAAGAATCTTGCAAAATTAAAAGTTCCTTCACAAGAAGTAAATCAACGGATTAGAACAATTCAGTTTAGCCAATCACGAGTTAGTATCTTACGGAAAATGACACACCACCGTTAAACACTGTTTTTTATTGGTCAACGCCCAAATTATTAATTCATTAATGCATGTACTTCCTATCAAAAATGAGTTTTTATTTTTAAATTTTTTATTTTGATATTTTAAATTATTTAAAAAATTTTATTTTTAAGTTTTATTTAATTTCTGATTTTTTTTGGAAAGTGTCAACATAATTTTGGCGCCCCTTGCCACCCGGCGCCTGGAGCGACCGCTCCAGTCGTTCTACCCTTGGGCCGGCCCTGCCGCCAACAGATCTTTTGGCGCTTGAGAGAAAGGAAATTATCCTCGTTCTGAAAGAGACGAATTCCTCGCAAGATGAAGATCGACCCAGCAAGGACCGCATCCGCTTCGAAGCGATGCACAGCCTCGTCAAAAAATAGCAGGAGAGATGGGACGGGGAGGTAAAAGGTCGATGAACTTATCGCCTTATACCGACACTCGCCACCTGGTTAAGTAGGAACCATGGCGAGGTCTCCTACTATTTGACTCAAGCGCTGACAGATCACGGATGTTTTAATTCATACCTGCAACGCTTTAAGAAGATAGATAGTGAGGAGTGTGCTTACTGCCAGTTCCCTGTGGACAACGCAGAGCACACTCTCTTTGACTGCAGTAAATGGGACTTGGAGAGGCAGGCTATGTTCACCGGTGTAAACGCTACAGTTACACCGGAGAACATGGTAGCGCTGATGATCCAGTCCCTGGAAAACTGGCTGCTCATCGGGACAGCAAATAATTTTTTTGGGTGAAGTTTTTAAAGGAACTTTATTTTATATTTTGTTTCTATATATTGACTTTCCTTTTTTTATTGTATTTCTTTTTTGGTGTACTGTTGATTCCGCTTTGACACAGAAAAAGTTTTATTGTTTTTGAAAATTGATAACGGAGGATGTCCGTAGGACTGGACGAAGTCGCTTTGTGATAGAGTAGAAGCGCCAGCCTCGAAGGCAAAAGTTTTCCCGACAGTTTCGAGGGTGGATAAAGGGCTTCCAAGAAGTGTTGACTGGTTTTAGTCGGTCGAGGCTGGTAGTAGTTTGCCAGCTTATTTTGTTTTGTGTACCTTTTTTTACAAACCCCACATAACCTTGGCATGCGATAGCCAAGGTATCTGTATACAGATTTTCCAAAAGTCCCTAAGGAAAAAATAATAATATAATATAATATTACTGTTTCGTAAAAACAGCCCATCATAATATGATTTTACTCATATCGGACAGATGTTCGAGTAGTCAAATACACCATATTTTACATTTTAAATATAATAATATTGTTCTATGAGAATGATATACTATAAAAGTATCATTGAAACCAAATGTTAGTTTATTCTTGAATCTTTTTAACATTTTGAAAACTTTTTCCTACTTTATTTCTTTATAAATGCAAAGGTAAAACTATAGTTTTCGACTAGTCGAACTGTCCTATCTGGGTTAATCAAAAAATTACAATAAATTTAGTAAATTATTTTTTGTTACTTTTTGGAATCAGTTTTTTGAAAAAATCCATTTAAAACACTTAATTTTAAAATATAAATTAATGCTTTTGTTAAAAAGTTATAATCTTTGAGAAAAAAATTCGAACAAATCGTAGAACTATTATTAATCGAGTACAAAATAATAAATTTTTTTAGCTAAATCAAAAATCATCAATTTTGATGATATATTGAGTTAGTAAAAATGGGTCGAAAATAGAAAATTATAGTAAAATAAAAATTGAAAAACTAAAGACAATTAAATGTTGGATTGTGAAAAGTGACACCAAATGTTTTCCCATATATTCGTGCGTAGTAGTTAACTTTGGTATCTCAAGCTATGCAATAAATATTTTAATGAACAAATCGTTTAAAATCTACAACATATTTTTATTATAGTTTATAAAAATTTGTTAATGATTAAAAAAATGTTATTTATTTTGTAAAAATATAAAGTTAATAAAAGTAATTATTAAATAGTAAAATATTAACTGTTAATGTATTTTAATTGATTGTAACGATCAATGACAAGGTTAAATACCTACTCGGATGACAGTCAACGGCTGCGGAAAATCACTGCCACCCGCCAGTCGAAAGCCCCATGGCCTGTTGTCGAACTTTGTGAACTTTATAGTGGTTGCCATGTTATTCTACATCTAAAATCACACGCTTTTTTTAAGCAAAGCAATACTATTGTTAAAAAAACAAGATCCCAAAATTGACAAATTTTCCATTACCATAAAAATTGCAGAATTATTTTTGGAAAATTACCAGTAACTTTATTTTCCCTAAATGTTCTGTCAGCTGAAATTGTAATAAATGCACAAGTCAGTATTCGTAAATATTGCTACAACAGTCATAGTCATTGCGGAGTCAATTTGTAAAATTAATCAAAATTATTTTTTTACAATTTGTGCATAAATTCATGTTTCATAAAAAATATTCGAAATATTTGTTAAATATGTATTTTATGTCAAAAGGACATTTAAATTTGAACGAATAAAAATCTTACATTTGGGCAATAATGTCACTATATGTATAATGTATATACATTTAATCGAATCTTTGGCAGCAACAAAAAGCAGCAAACATAAGCGAAAGCAATTTTCAACATTAAAAAATATATATTAAATATTTATTGTAGGTATAGTCTATATTTAATATAATATTTAAGTGTTATTGGAAGAAGAAGAAGAATAATCAAGAAAACAATTTTGAATATACTATACTTTCGAGATAATTTAACAAGTTGTACTTATAGAAGATATTAGTCAAGAGGATTTCAAGAGCCATTGGAAAAATATAAGTTCTTTAAAAAATTCAGAGTTTAATTAAGCCGACCACCCAAACTAATTTATTTGAAACTTTTGTAAATTGTAAAACATACCATTTCAAAAAATTGTTTTAAAACATACCAACTCGTGAAACCCGTATAAAACATACCATTTCGGATGACATTTATAAAACGTACCATTTCAAAAAAGTTATTTTTTTGCTTCTATTTTAAGTTGGTTCAAAAGTTCTTTAAAAATGAGTTTTATTTATTTCTAATTAGTATTATCAACTTAAAATCGAAGCAAAAAAATAACTTTTTTTGAAATGGTACGTTTTATAAATGTCATCCGAAATAGTATGTTTTATACGGCTTACACGAGTTGGTATGTTTTAAAACGATTTTCTGAAATGGTATTTTTTCCACTAACCCGACGCTACATATATAAAAGTAACAAATTTGAAAACTATTAGCCTATTTACAGAAAAATTTGCAGAAAGCATTGAGAAGGTTAAATTTTTGAACGATATTTTCATTTTCAAAACCGTATAGCTATGAGAAAACTTTACGAATTGTAATTTTTATAAAGTCAACTTTTAAAACATTTTTGATGTACTTTTCAATGCTAAAATTTAAAAAAGAATATTTAACTAATTAATCTTTTCTTAAAATTAATTTTTTTTTTCGACGTGGCCAAAGTCCATTATTTTTATAAGAAGATATAGGCGTCCGTCATTCAAAGTAATCCTAATGTATAACCAGAAGGTTTAAAAATTTTTAATTTAATTTCAGAATGAGAATAATATAATCTTTTCAAGTTAGGTCAAAAGTAAAACTAAAAAACAAATTCTTTAATTTACGAAACATAAAAGAATTTGCTTTTAATTTTACTTTTGACCTGACTTAGAGAGATTAATATTATTCTCATTCTTCAATTAAACATCTAACCAAGTGATAAATTGGAAATATCATATCGTTGGCTGGATGAAAAACCCTACTATTTGAGGTAATTGTTATAAACCATACCACTTCGCATTAAAAATGGAAAACATAACATCTCGGTCGATATTTGTATGGAAAAATTTCCGAGATGATATATTTTCCATTTTTTGTGCTAAATAGTGTATGTTTCATAACGATGGTAAAATTCCTATAGAGGGATCGAACACAATACGTCACTGAGTCAGTGTTGCCACAAGTCAGGGAAAGGTCAGGGAATTTAATAAAAAGTGCTGGAAAAATGTTGTAAACCTGGATTTTCATTATAATATTCATTTGTTATGAATTTATGTAACTGCTTTTTCGCTTTAAAATGAAAAAAAACTTTTAAATCGGTGCAAAAATAAAAAAGTTACAACCCACACTGAGAGACCTTTTGCACCGTAGCCGACTTTCGACAGGGGGCTGCAGAGCATTCTGTTGGCAAGCTACGAGACTATACGTTTGGGCTGCTGCTGTACATTTTTGGGCGCGTGACTGCCAAAAACTTGTACAGCTACAAACTGAATGTGGCGTCCCCACTATTTCGGTGAGCTACTCACCAACATTTTGGACAGTCACGCTCCCAAAATTGTACCGCCGCACACCAAAACCATAGTGGCGCTGCTGTCACTTACCTTGTTTCGCTGCAGTCCAAAATGTCTCTCAGTGCAGTAAAAAAGGATTTTTTGATATAGCAGTTCGGACGAATCACTTTTTAACTGACAGTATACTGCTGTACTTGACATTTTATGGGTAAAGAAGAGAAGATTTTAATAATGAGTGACACTTCATTATCGACTCTCAATATTTGTCGAATGGTAAAATATAATGATATTTCTATTCATTCTTAAATTATATATATGAGGCAAAATTCCTGAAATGTCCGAACGAAAAATTAAAAGTTCTCGAATTTAATCCATACTTTTCTAAAATGTTGTTATTGTTGGTGAAAGTCTAAAAATAAACTATTATTGAATTTAATAAAATAGTTTTTGAATTACAACGTTTTTAATTTTTGACTTTAAAGTCAAATAGAAAAAAAAATTTTTTTACAATGTACAATATTTATAAGTAGAATGCATAAAAGTTAACATATATATATAATGATTTTTAAAGCTTTTTTGACGGGCTACACGCTGTTAATAAAATTTTTTTTTTAAATAACATTTGACCTTGAAATTCAAGGTCAAAATGTTAATTTACGTTTATCTCAAAATGGGATTTTTTAAAATTATTTTTAACTATCTCAATGGAAAGCTTGACTAATTTCCTACAAAACATGTAATTTTCAGAGTGGGATCTTTTAAAGTTTTTGAAATATTAATTAATTAATTAATTAATTAATGTTTATAACAAATGAAATATTTTACAAACGAATAAAGTTACCGTAATTCTGAAGTTAGCAATTAAAACTTAACGTAATTCCGCATCCAACGAGCCTTGTATGAAGTATTTTGGATAAGTAGATTGTTAATAAACAATTAGTTAACATTGCAATTGTTTATTAACAATCTACTTATCCAAAATACTTCATATAGGGCTCGTTGGATGCGGAATTAGTTTAACTTTCAATTGGTTAATTTAGATTTACGATAACTTTATTTGTTTGTAAGATATTTCATTTTTTATTGTTATTTAACTAAAATTGAACAAAAATACTTCATATAGGGCTTTTGGATGCTTGTTCTTAGTAAAAAAATAAAATATTTTACAAACAAATAAAGTTATGGTAATTCTACCAATTGAAAGTTAAACTAATTCCTCATCCAACGAGCCCTATATGAAGTATTTCGGATAAGTAGATTGTTAATAAACAATTGCAATGTTAACTAATTGTTTATTAACAATCTACTTATCCAAAATACTTCATACAGGGCTCGTTAGATGCGGAATTACGTTAAGTTTTAATTGCTAACTTCAGAATTACGGTAACTTTATTCGTTTGTAAAATATTTCATTTCTTATAAACATTAATTAATTAATTAATTAATTAATTAATTAATATTTCAAAAACTTTAAAAGATCCCACTCTAAAAATTACATGTTTTGTAGGAAGTTAGTCAAGCTTTCCATTGAGATAGTTAAAAATAATTTTAAGAAATCCCATTTTGAGATAAACGTAAATTAACATTTTGACCTTGAATTTCAAGGTCAAATGTTATTTAAAAAAAAAATGTATTAACAGCGTGTAGCCCGTCAAAAAAGCTTTAAAAATCATTATATATATGTTAACTTTTATGCATTCTACTTATAAATATTGTACATTGTAAAAAAAATTTTTTTTCTAAAGTCAAAAATTGAAAACGTTGTAATTCAAAAACTATTTTATTAAATTCAATAATAATTGATTTTTAGACTTTCACCAACAATAACAACATTTTAGAAAAGTATGGATTAAATTCGAGAACTTTTAATTTTTTTTCGGACATTTCAGGAATTTTGCCTCATATATATATATTTTATTTCTAACAATTTTTAAAATTTTATCTATTTGACGTATAATTATAATATATAGGTATTATAATACATAACATAAATAATATTAATATAATATTATAAATTAATAATAATATATAATTATAATTATACTTATGTACTAAATAATTTTAAATAATTAAACTAATTTTTAATTTAATTAAAATTTAAATAAAAGTATTTAAATTAGTAATAAAAAAATATAAACATATAATAAAAACATAACAATAAATGAAATATAAAAGTAAGAAAATTTTTTAATTCAATTAATTCAATAATTATTCCTTTTTTAAAAAATCAGAAAGAAATCCACTATTATATTTTACCATTCGACAAATATTGAGAGTCGATAATGAAGTGTCACTCATTATCATAATTTTCTCTTCTTTACTCATAAAATGTCAAGTACAGCAGTATACTGTCAGTTAAAAAGTGATTTTTCGGAAAACTCTTTCCTTTTCCTCGATCGAGGTATTTTTATACTTTCTTTTTCTGTATATATCAAGAATTATGCATTTTCTACCGTTTTTTCAATGTTTCAATAGTTTTTCATATTATTTTAGCAGCTTTTTAGACAGGAGAAATATTGCGGATGATTGGGCATAATGCATTGGACAATTAAACAAACACTCCAATTGTCCGAATGCATTTTAGACAATTGAGCAAACGGCTTGCTCAATTGTCCGAACTGCTATCTCAAAAAATCCTTTTTTACTGGGAAGGGTTTTAGTCATAAATATACGTAAAAACGATTTTTTGGCTCAAAAATTAAAAATTGGGGGTGTTAGGGAAATTTTTAATATACCATTCTTCTTAGTTTTTTGTTACCTAAAACCTCTAGTAGGTCCGATAAAAAGTGTTTTTCAATTTTTTTTGTAACACAGTGTAATATAATAATATAATATAATAAAAGAAATATATAAACTT